AATTTTTATATTTTTAGCAGAGAGGGGGTTTCACCATGTTGGCCAGAATGGTCTCGATCTCTTGACCTGTGATCTGCCTACCTCAGCCTCCCAAAGTGCTGGGATTACAGGTGTGAGCCACTGTGCCTGGCTTATGTACGAGTTTTTATGTGGACAAATGTTTCCTTTTTCTAAATGCCTAGGAGTGTGAACGCTAGGTCATACGGTAAGTAAGTGCTTAGTTTTTGGCTAGGTGCAGTGGCTTGCATCTGTAATCCCAGCACTTTGGGAGGCTGAGGCAGGAGAACTGCTTGAACCCAGGAGACAGAGGTTGCAGCGAGCCGAGTTTGTGCTAGTGCACTCCAGTGTGGGTGACAGAGTGAGACTCTGACTCAAAAAAAATTGTACTTTTTAAAGAAACTGCCAAACTATTTTTCAGATTGTACTATTTTACATCCCACTAGAAATGTATGAGACATAAAGTTTCTCTGCATACTCTTTTGTCACTATTTTTTATTTTAGTTTCTAAAATAATTTTGAAAATCAGTGATGGGCATTGAGTTTTATTGATTACATATTTTGGCATTTATTGAGATAATTTCAGGGTGTCTCTTATCAGACCTACTAATGAATTTTATTATTCTATCTATCTATATGTATGTTTTTTAAATGCTAAAATCTCCTACCATTCTTTTTTTTTGTGGGGGCGGGAATGGAGTTTCGCTCTTACTGCCCAGGCTGGAGTGCAATAGTGTGATCTCGGCTCACTGCAACCTTCGCCTCCCAGGTTCAAGCAATTCTCCTGCCTCAGCATCCTGAGTAGCTGGGATTACAGGCATGCACCACCATGCCCAGTTAATTGTGTATTTTTAGTAGAGGTGGGGATTCTCCATGTTGGTCAGGCAGGTCTCGAACGCCCAACCTCAGGTGATCTGCCCACCTCAGCCTCCCAAAGTGCTGGGATTACAGGCATGAGCCACTGCACCAGGCAATCTCCCACTATTCTTATTAGAGTTTCCCTCCTCAGAGGCAATCACTTTACCTGATCCTTAATCTAGGGACTATATCTACATATTAACAGTAGCATATCACTTGCACAGTTCTGCAGCTTGCTTTTTTACTTATTATTATTTGTCATCTAGGAATTGCTTGAGATATTATTATTACTTTTTTTGAGACAGTGTCTTGCTCTGTCACCCAAGATGGAGTACAGTGGCCCAATCATGGCTCACTGCAGCCTCAACTTCCAGGACTCAGGTGATCCTCCCACCTCAGCCTCCTGAGTAGCTAGGACTACAGGTATGCGCCACCATGCCTGACTAATTTCTCTTTTGTAGAGATGGAGTTTTGCCATGTTGTCCAAACTGGTCTTGAATTCCTAGACTCAAGCCATCCTCACATCTCAGCCTCCCTAAGTGCTGGGATTACACAGGTGTAAGCCACTGCACCCAGTCCACTTAATATCTCACAGACCATTCTGTATCAGTACATGGGGATCTATCTCATTCTTTTTAACAGTTGCATAGCATTCTATTGAGGAATGTGCCAGTTTAATCAACCAGTTCTTTTTTGATAGATATTAAAGTTGTTTCCAGTTCTTTGTAATTACTGATGATGCTGCAATGAACACTCTAGTATGATGGAATTTGTAGCCCATGTGAGCACTAATGTACAATAAATTCCTGACATGAAATTGTTAGGTCAAAGACATTCAAGTTGGAATAGCTGTTGCCAAATTGCCTTCAAAGAGGCTCACACATTTTAAACTCCCATCAGCAATGAACAACAATGTTCTTCTCTACAGTATCTTTTCTCTCTCTCTCTTTCTTTCTTTCTTTTTTTCTTTTTCTTTTTTTTTTTTTTTTTTTTGAGATGGAGTCTCACTCTGCTGCCCAGGCTGGAGTGCAGTCAGTGGCATGTCAGCTCACTGAAACGTCTGCCTCCCGGGTTCAAGTGATTCTCCTGTCTCAGCCTGCTGAGTAGCTGGGATTACAGATGTGTGCTACTACGCCCAGCTAATTTTTGTGGTTTTAGTAGAGCTGAGGTTTCACTATGTTGGCCAGGCTGCTCTCAAACTCCTGACCTCAAGTGATACACCTACCTCAGCCTCCCAAAGTGCTGAAATTACAGGCGTGAGCCACCACGCCTGGCCAATATCTTTTCTAATCTGTGTATCTTTTCCAATCTGACGTCTTAAAAAATAGCATTTCACCTTAATTTTAAGTTTCAGTTCTATTAAGAGGTGGCTCAGTATCTTTTCATTTGCTTAAAAGCCATCCGTATTACTTTTCTATTAACTGTGTGTCCATATCCTTTGCCCGTTTATTATTTAAAATCAATGTTTAGCTAGAAAATACCACTTTCCAGCCAGGCGCGGTGGCTCAAGCCTGTAATCCCAGCACTTTGGGAGGCTGAGGCGGGCGGATCACGAGGTCGAGAGATCGAGACCATCCTGGTCAACATGGTGAAACCCCGTCTCTACTAAAAATACAAAAAATTAGCTGGGCATGGTGGCGTGTACCTGTAATCCCAGCTACTCCGGAGGCTGAGGCAGGATTGCCTGAACCCAGGAGGCAGAGGTTGCCGTGAGCCGAGATCGCGCCATTGCACTCCAGCCTGGGTGACAAGAGCGAAACTCCGTCTCAAAAAAAAAAAAAAAAAAAGAAAAAAAAAAAAGAAAAAAAAAAAAGAAAATACCACTTTCCTATTTTCATTTGTTCAACAACCTCCTCGGAGGCAGGAGGCTCCCTCAGACAAGTGACCCCTGTCCTCCACAACCAGCTCCATCTTCTTCATCTTCTTCTTCTTCTTTTTTTTCCCAAAGTGGAGTCTTGCTCTGTTGTCCAGGCTGGAGCGCAGTGGCACAATCTTGGCTCACTGCAATCTCTGCCTCCTGGGTTCTACTGATTCTCCTGCCTCAGCCTCCTGAGTAGCTGGGATTACAGGTGTGCACCACCACGTATAGCTAATTTTTGTCTTTTTAATAGATATGAGGTTTCACCATATTGGCCAGGCTGGTTTCCAACTCCTGACCTCAAGCAATGCGCCCACCTGGGCCTCCCAAAGTGCTGGGATTACAGGTGTGAGCCGGCGCCTAGCCTCAGCTCCCTCTTCTAACTCATAAATGCCTCCTTCCCCAACACCACTGTCTGTTCCCCAGGAAGTCACCCTTTATGGTCTCCTCAACATCTCACACCCCTCCCCAAATTCTGTGCATGCTCTCCCAACACTCCACTCTGGGGTGCTCTCTTCCCAGTCAAACCTATCCAGTCCTTCAGGGTCCAGCCTAATTTCACCTGTCTGGGCACCTTTCTGAATAACTAGTGCTCACATTGCATACAGTTTCACTTTCAGGCGTGCCTCCTTCCTCAATCAGAGACTATGTCCCTGGAAAGCTGCGCCTGACAGCCAGAGGCCAGCTGCCGCTCTGTCCATGCTCAGTGTCGGTGGGTGTGTATAGCCGGGAGTCTGAGTGTGGAGTATGTTTCATTCACTCATCCTGCAGCTTTTTTGTTTGTTCTGAGACAGACTCTCACTGTTACCCAGGCTGGAGTGCAGTGGCGCGATCTCCGCTCACTGCAACCTCTGCCTCCCTGATTCAAGAGATTCGCTGCCTCAGCCTCCTGAGTAGCTGGGATTACAGATGCCCAGCACCACACTGGGCTAACTTTTGTATTTTTTTTTTGGTAGAGACAGAGTTTCACCATGTTGGTCAGGCTAGACTATAGACTCCTGACCTCAAGTGATTCACTTGCTTTGGCCTCCCAGAGTTTCGGATTACAGGCGTGAGCCACCGTACCCTATCCATCCTGCAGTTAATGAATGCATAATACATACATGAGTTAGGTGCTGTTCCAGTCATTGGAGATAAGGCAGTGTATGAGGCAGATCAAAGCCCCTTCTCTCATCCAGCTTATATGTTGTAACTATTATACAACTAACAAGACAAACACAAATAAGAATACCAATTAAATGCAAACAAGTAATGAAACATCAAGTGAAGGAGGGGAAGGATTTTTGTTTGCAGAGGGATCCGGGAGGGGTCCCTGAGGAGATGAGACAGGAGAGGGTGCCGCCGCTGCAAAGAGCTTTGCAGGGCCCCACTAGATGCCCCGCCTGGCAGCCTCTCTTCCAGAGATGGACGTGCAGCCCAGCCCTCAACACCCCTTCTCTCTGTTGCTTGACAGGAACTAAAGGCACAAGGCTGCGATCCCTGGAACCTTAGGGGTGTGTGTGGGGAACCCTGCTCCCTCCTGCTTCACATCCCATCTGAAAATTTGGGAAACCGAAATCGCGCTTGGCCTGCGTTGATAGAGCACCTACTACGTGCCAGACCCTGGCAGGTCTCCTTTCTTATTTTCTCATTAGTCTTTGTTGCATTTTGCATTGGTTTATTGTTATTTATTTAACTGTGGGGTTTAATTGTGAAATGCCTGTCTACTTCATTAAAAGACCAGCTAAGCAATTTATGCGATTACTACGTCTTTTAATCTACACAACGATCCCACATAGACTCGATTAACCTTACAGGAGAAAAGACAGAGGCTGGGAATATGGCAGGCACCTGGGTGTTAACTTGGTTCACACACAAGTGGAGTTCCCGGGTCCGGCAGTTTGGTGGTGCGGGTCGGCGGGGGTTTACTGAGCGTTCCGGGCGCTCGGCGTTTTCGGAGTTGGTCGGGTCCAAGCCCGGGCCCCAAAGCTGCCAGGCGCGCCCGCCAGCGGCCCCCCGCCCCGCCCGGGTCTCCTGGCCTCGGGGGCAAAGGGGAGCGCCGGGGCCAGCAGGCTGGGGGCGGGGAAGGCGCGGGGACAAAGGCCGCGCTGGGCCGGCCGGTGCAGCGGCGAACTCCGGGCGCCGGGACCTGGCCGGGCGATCGCGTCCCACGGAGCCCGCGCCTGGATGGAGCACCCCAGGGCGCCGCCGGGCCCAGCGCTAGCTGCGCCCCCGCCCCCGCCCCCGCCCCCGCCCGCGCCCGCGCCCGCGCCCCCGCCCCCTCACCCCCACCCCGCGGCGGCTCCGAGCTCGGCGAACATGGCGGCGGCGGCGGTCGGGCGGGACACTTTACCTGAGCACTGGTCCTACGGCGTGTGCCGGGACGGCCGCGTCTTCTTCATCAAGTGCGGCGCGGGGACGCGAGGACGCGGGGACGCGGGTGGGGGCGGGGGCCGGGCGGGAGCCCCGCGGGCGGTGGCGGCGCTAACAGGTGCACCTCTCTGTCCGCAGCGACCAGCTCTGCCGCACGACCTGGCTGCACCCGCGCACCGGGGAGCCCGTCAACTCCGGCCACATGATCCGCTCAGGTGGGCGCCGGGCCGGCGGGGCGGCGGCGGGGGCGGGGGGCGCGCGCGCCGTGGCTGCCCAAGTTTGACCCGACTTTTCTGGCGTTTCCGCAGACCTGCCCCGCGGCTGGGAGGAGGGCTTCACAGAGGAGGGCGCCAGCTACTTCATCGAGTGAGTGAGTGGGGCCGCCGCGCTCGCACCTGTGCAGCGGGGGTCCCTGCGGGTTCCAGCCGGGCGCCCCGCCCTCCCTCTGCTCCCGCCGGCCTGGGCGCGTTAGCGCGCGCTGCGCCGCGGCCGCACTCCGGGTTTTGTGTGCCCGAGTTGTGTGGCGGGCTCCGAGAGGGAGGCGGTGGGGGCCGCATCGACGCTGGGGACCTGGGCGCAGGAAAGGGGCACAGACTCTGCGCCCTGGACCTTGCGATCCGGCGGGATTCGGGAGCTGGTGTGAGGGCCGGGCACGCCTCCCCGCTGGGGGGATCTCCGGCTGCGCCCAGCCTGGAGAGGCGGGTGTCGGGACCTTGTTGGGCTCGGGTAGGGGGAGTAGAGCGAGGAGTTCTGTCCTGGTGCGGGCCTGCGGGGTTGGGGTGGGGAGAGGGAGAGACGGGGAGCCTCGCTTAGGAGGCCTCCTTCTCTGGCCGCAGGTTTTGGGATGGTCGTGGGGAGTCGGAACCGCACCCCCGGCCTCCATCCACTGCGCGGGCCTGCGGGGAGGGAGGGGGAGGGGATTGGAACTGGTGAACCAATGACGTTCCTCGAGCGCTCCGCGTCTTTTCGGCCAGAGCTGAAAACGGCGATCGCTGGTGTCTCTGTTTGTCCAGAGGCAACTTTTCCGCAAAAGCCCGGGAGTGTTGCCGCACTAGCCAGGTTACCCTGGGTCTGTAGGATCGGTCCATGTCAGACTGGGTGGCAGTAAGTGAAGGCGCGAGTCAGGCTCCTAAGCCAGTATAGGCTTTGCTTTCCCACTCGGACGACCGCCTGTGTTGCAGCATGTTTCCCTCTGCCTGCTGAGCTCTGGGAGGCCAGAAACTGCCTTTGACCCCTTGCCCCAGTGCCCGACAGAGAGTAGGCACTCGGTAAATGTTTGTTCATCGAATGAATGAACTAGCCAAAGGTCCGGACGGTGGTCTGACTAGTACTGGGTGTACTTTGGGGACTGTGAGTCAGAACTACTACTCTTAGTCAGTAGTGAAGCAGCCTATTTCAAGATAACCCCAGAACCTTCTTTTCTGGTTTGAGTTCTTGCATGATAGTTGAAAATACCGTTGGGTGAGATTTACAGATCTGAGGACTAGAGCCTTGCTACGGTTCTGTTACCTGCCTCGTGTGTGCATGAAGTTGGGGAGTTGGCTGGGGCCGTCAGAGTCTTGCTATCAGTGGGCCTCTCTGGCTCGTAACTGCATCAGTTGATATTATTACAATTTTCCTGTGCGCCACAAGTTCACACATTGTTCTAGGCGTTGGGAACAAAACAGGCAACTTCTGGGTGCTCATGGAGCTTGCAATCTAATGGGAGAGGGAAAAAGGGAATAGAAAATAAGTAAAGAAACACGAATAATATCAGATTGTGGTTACTACTGTGCAGAAAGTTAAAATAAGGTGATGTGATATGGAGTGACTGAGTGGCTTGGTTGAACTGGGAGATCAATGGCGTTTCTGAATAGGCAACATTTAAAGTAAAATTCGAATGACAAGAGGGAGACATCATGTGTTGATGAGGTGGCAAAGAAGAGCGAAGAGCCATGGCAAGGGCTTACGGCAGAAGATAGCTTGGACTTTAAGGAGCAGGAGGACCAGGTGGCTGGAGTGTGGTGAACAGGACGTCAGGAAAGGTCACAGGTAGGAGAGGGGTAAATGCTGCAAAGCTCTGTGAGTGAGGGTGAGGAGTTATCATACTTTATTCTAATCCCAGTGAAACGCCATGGAGGGTTTTAAGCAGGGAAGTGTCATGATTTGGTTTGTGTTTAGAATCATCACTGTGAGGAGACTGGATTGTAGGTGGCCACTGCAGGGCGGGCAGGAGAGCCACCGAGGCTGTTCCCTCGTCCAGGCAGGAGTTAGTAGAGGCTTGCTTGAGGTAGTAGTGCAGGAGACATGGAGTAGTGGTCACATTCAGGCTGTGTTTAGGAAGGAGGCTCTTCACACCTTCGTGATGGATTGAATAAAGTCTGTGAGAGAAAGAGAAGAGGTGAAGATGACTCCTCAGGGCTTAGCGCCTGAGTGGATAGCATTCATACTGTTGAGATGAAAAGAGCCAGTTTGGGGTGGAGAGAATTGTGAGATTTTGTTTTGCCATCTTACATTTGAGATGTGAGTATGTCAGATAATCAGATGTGTGATCTGAAGCTTGGTGGGGAGAGAGGATGGAAGAGATCCATTTGAGTATAATGTTATTTAAGGCCATGGGATTAGATGAAATCCCTTAGGAAGAGAGTACAGACAGAAGAGAGATGTTCTGATGGTCTAAGCCAGGCGTCCCCAAAGTTTTTACACAGGGGGCCAGTTCACTGTCCCTCAGACCGTTGGAGGGCCGCCACATACTGTGCTCTTCTCACTGACCACCAGTGAAAGAGATGCCCCTTCCTGAAGTGCACTGGGGGGGCTGAATAAATGGCCTCAGGGGGCCGCATGCGGCCCGTGGGCCGCAGTTTGGGGACACCTGGTCTAAGCAGTGTTGAGAGGGGCGAGAGGTGAAGCCAGCAAGGAGACTGAGAAGACAGGAGAAACCCCAGGAGAATGCGTGGTCACAGAGGCCTTGCAGGACAAAGTCTGACTAGAGGAGGTGGAAGATCAAATATGGGGTGAAGACGGGGAGTCAATCAGGCAAATCTTACAGGTAGTTTTCTTGCAAAGTGGAGTTGAGGTGTTAGCCAGTAATGGAAAGGATGTGGGCTTGAGGGAAGATTTTCCTTTCTTTTTTTAGTGGGAGATTGTGCAGCATGTTTTGTTGTGATGGGAATGACAATTGAGAGGGAGAAGTCGATGCTGCGGGAAAGAGACCGGGTATTTACCAAAGCAGTGTTTCTGAGAAGGTGAGCAGGCTGGGATTCACAGCCTGCATCTCACTGGCCTCACCAAGGGACAGGGCCCATCATTATTTTGACAGGAAGAAGGGCTGCCAGTGTCCCGAAGTACCAGCTGCAGCCTTGGGCTGGTGTGTGAGGGTGTGTGTGGGACTCTGGAGGCTGGAGTACAGCCTTCCACACCTTTGCTGACTCTTCCATGTGTCTGTGAGGTCCCTCATGATTATCTGACAGTGAGCTCCCTTACCCCCAGGGCCTTGGCTGACTCCTCCCAGGCCTAGGGAAAGCAATGTGTGAGTGTTCCCTACCCTCAAAGGCAGGGCCCTGTAGCAGATGATTGTACTTCTGACCTCCTTCTGTGACAATTTTTTGAGAGACTTAAGATTTGGGGAGTAATTGTTCTCTTCCTCACCCACTGCCCGGGCATAAACAATGTTTTCCTGTTGTCTGATTTCTTAGTTTTGCCACGAGCATTTCTGAATGTTTGATTTTTGTGCTGAGGGCAAGAGCGTGTCCTCTAATTTGGCTCATAAAGTGAGAGGGACAAAGCATGGACACGGTTGGTTTTATTTTTCCTGATGGATCCTTGCACAGGAAAGTTGCATGAGGCTTTTCAGGATGTATTCAGTTACTCCTCATATTTAGCAGATTAAAAAAATAATTTCTAAAAACATTTTAAGAAACAGAATCTTCTCTGTCTCCCAGGTTGCAGTGCAGTGGTGCAATCATAGCTCACTGTAGTCTTGAACTCCTGAGGTCAAGTGATCCTCCCACTTCAGCCTCACAAGTAGCTGGAACTACAGATGCAGGCCACCCTGCCCAGCCAGCAGATGTTTTAATATTCTCCAGAGTCCATTTCTTTTCTTTTCTTCTTCTTCTTCTTTTTTTTTTAGATAGCCTTGCTCTGTCGCCCAGGCTGGAGTGCAGTGGTACAATCTCAGCTTACTGCAACCTCTGCCTCCTGGGTTCAAGTGATTCTCGCCTCAGCCACCCCCTAAGTAGCTGGAACTACAGGTGTGTACCACCATGACTGCCTAATTTTTTTTTGTTTTTGTTTTTTGAGTTGGAGTCTCACTCTGTTGCCCAGGCTGGAGTGCAGTGGTGTGATCTTGGCTCACTGCAACCTCTACCGCCTGGGATCAGTTGATTTTCCTGTCTCAGCCTCCCAAGTAGTTGGGATTACAGGCATGTGCCACCATGCCCGGCTAAATTTTTTTGTATTTTTAGTAGAGACGGGGTTTCACTGTGTTAGCCGGGTTGGTCTGGATCTCTTGACCTTGTGATGTACCCCCCTCAGCCTCCCAAAGTGCTGGGATTACAGGCATGAGCCATCGTGCCTGGCCTCAGAGTCCATTTCTTGAAGCAGAAAAGCTTGATCTTAGGTAGATGAATTTCAGTTTTAATTTCTGCACTTTTTGTTCAATTTTGCATCAATGAGGGACAAAATACATAAGGAATCCACTGCTGGTTGTCCCAGTTCTAGACTAAGTGATGCTGATAACCCTTTTATTTATTTATTTGTTTTTAAAGATGGGGTTTCACCATGATGGCCAGGCTGGTCTTGAACTCCTGACCTCAGGTGATCCACCACTTTGGCCTCCCAAAGTGCTAGGATTACAGGCTTGAGCCACTGCGCCCAGCCTGATAACCCCTTTAAAAGATTTTTGGCTAGGTGTAGTGGCTCATGCCTGCAATTCCAGCACTTTGGGAGGCAGAAGCAAGAGGATCGTTTGAAGCCAGGAGTTCAAGATCAGTCTGGGCAACATAGAGAGACCTCATCTCTACAAAAAATGAAAAAATTAGCAGTGGTATGCTTCGGTAGTTCTGGCAACTTGAGAGGCTTAAGTGTGAGGATTGCTTGAGTCCAGGAGTCTGAGGTTACCATGAACTATGATTGTGCTGCTGTACTCCAGCCTGGGTGGTAGAGTGAGATCCTGTCTCTAAATAAATAAATAATAAAAAGACTTCTTGTACTGTAGCCCTTCTCTACTTTACTATGAATCCCTGAGCTGGGTAGCAGGGCATAATAGTAATTGTGATAATAGTGTCATTAACAGAAGTAGCAATACTAGTAGTAATAATTGTATAACAGCCTAATCTTTTGAGTCTTTGAAAAATGCAAGGAACTGTTCTCTAACTGATTGATTTAAT